TATTTTTGTAGAATTAAAACTTATCAAGATATTAAAGAAAAACAAAATATATTTAAAATCATTATTATAAAATTTTTTATTTCTTTTTCTTTTCGCTTTTTCTAGATGTTTGTACTAAATTAATAGGTCTTAATACTTAAATAAAAAATGTAAAGAGACTTTTTATGAATCTAAAGGAAGTGAGTTCATCCAAAACAGACAAATAAATAGGGAGGTATTAAGGGTCAAAGTTTGTGTACTGATATTTAAAAAAAGAAAATTTTAAAGAAATTGTTTGTAACAAGAAGGAAATTAAAACTTTAATGATTTATAAAAGATCAAGGAAACATTTTGTTACTAAATAACCTATATATCAAAATATAAAAAAAAGTTCAAGAATCTAAAGAAGATAAGATAAAAATTCATAGAGATATTAAAGAAAAATGATGATCTACTAATTTTTCATTTTTTAGTCAGGAAAGGTTTGTTATATTTATCCAAAAATTTTTTGTATTTTTGTCAAAAGATATCAAATATTATAAAGTAGAAGCCTTCTTATTTCTACACTACAACAATAACATAGCATAGAGAATTCCTTACAGATATATATGATATCCAAGAGAGAAGTATAACTTCTATTAGACATTGTCAAGAAACTATACCTATTTTTAAAACAGTTCAATAATTATTATATAGTAGTTTATATTTAAAGTCATTTATTAAATAATTACAAGAAGGATTATCTTTAGATGCCTGTTTTAAAGGATTTAGAATATAATTTACAAGATAAAGAAGAAGGTGAATTATCTGTTCTTTGGAAACTTGATTATTCACTGAACTACTTTTTATTTGAAGAAATTTAGAGAGTTTATATATCTATAAGCTAAGCAGCTAAGTGACTAAGAGACTAGGTGACCAGTTTCACTAAAGGACTAAGCAACCAGTTTTATTAAGAGACTAAGTAACTAGTATCACTAAAAAACTAAGTGACCAGTATCATTAAGAGACTAAGTGACCAGTTTCACTAAAGGATTAAGTAATCAGTATCATAAGCTTAAGGCATTAAAATGTTTAAAGTATCAAGCAATTATAACTAATAAATAATACAATAATAGAAATTATCTTATAATATTAGTATAATAAGTACTAAACAGATCATTTATATAATTAAACATGATCTAATAACAATTTAAAGTTTTTTTTAAAAAATATAGAAAGACTAAAAAAATTAAGAATTTATCTTAGTTTAGATGTCTTTTCATTTTAAAAAAATAAGAAAAGATCATTATAATAAAAAAAGTATTGAAAAAAAAACATATATTGTTGCTCAAAATTATAAAAGATTTAAATCTTTAATTCAATATGTAGACTGTAACTAGGACCTTACACAATATTGAACTTTATTCTTATATTATTATTTTAAAATCTTTTTTATCAATCTGTAGATTAATAATGTAATAATTAGTGCTTCTGGATCTTAATTGCAAGATTGCAAGTTCAAGTTCAAAAGGTGACAACAACTCTGCCAAGATCACAATTGGAAAAAATATTTGTAAAGAATTTTCATTTAAAAACAAGAACAAGATTCATACAAAAAGAATGCAGTCACTGGCATAGCTATAGGATCAAAGATAACTAGATAAGATGTAATTTATCAACAAATGACACTAACATTAAGAGAGTCTAATTTAAGAATACATAATAGTGGAATTAAAAACTTTGAAATATACAGATAATCTGGCTAGTGGGTCATGTAAAGTTAGAGAACTGTGGACTAAAAAGGATAATAAGTCTTTCACTGTAGGGCCAGAGACCCAGATCATTATATAATAGACTTGATGAAATATAAGTTATCTCATAAGTTCAGTGACATGCAGAGGCTATACACTGTCCAATAATTTTTGCAGAATAATAACTCTGATCTTTAAGAAATGTGATAGATTCTAAAGGTATCTAAGAACCTTCAAGATAGTAAAGGGAAATAAAAAAAAAAAATCTTTTTTATCAAATAAAAATATAGAAAAAGATATGAAATAGTATGAACAAAATAAAAATAAGAATACTTATTATTGAAGATGTATTATTTTTTTAAATAAAATAAGTATAGAAATAGGTGAACAATTCTGCTAAATTTATATATAATATTATATAGATAAGAGATACAAACATAAATGTTTATAATCAAAAATTTTAGAAATAAAAAAGTCTTATTAATAATATCAAAGATCTTAGTTTTTTTTTGATAATTATAAAGAATTTAAGTAAAAAATTAATAAAAACATTTATACCAAAGTTTTAAATAATTATTTTATATTATTTATAGTTGTAGTTTATTTGTTAAATAGTTGTTATCTAATTTTTTAGCATAACAATACTCTGATTCATAAGATATCAAATTGACTAAATTTAAAAAACATTGATTATATTAATTAACCTTTATGATCTCCTGACTTTAATTCTATAGAAAATATTTAAAAGATTATGAAGAACAATATTTAAAACTATGATGACTTTCTGAAGAATAAATCTAATCTTAAAATAGCCTTATAAGAAGTATAATCAAATTTGAATACATCAGATTTTTATATAGTTGCAGACTCAAAGACATGAAGAATTGATACTATTGCAAGTGTAAGAGATCACTCAGTAAAGTATTGAATATATATAAAAAAAATTTGATATATATACAACCAAAATTAAATAAATAAAAATTTTATTTTTTGATTAAAAATTGAGTATTACTTTTATTGGCTACTATATCAGCTGAGTTTGAATAATTATTCAAATGATCACTTAATGCATTAATTTTAATAAAAGAAGATATATACATATAAAAGAAATTAAGCAAATATTGACCTCACCTTAAAAAAAAAAAAATTAAGCAAATATTTTTAAAAATCTTTTTGAAATTTTAAGATCCTTTTAAATTAATTCTACAAGTTTATGAAATTTTGAAAAAAATTTTTTTATTAAATTTGATTAAGTTATTTTTGTTCAAAGTTAAAAATTTTATATTATAAAAAATTTGCTTGATTTATTCTCATATATGGGCTAAGTTCTGCAAAAAGGAAGGAAAATGCCAAATTTTTTAAAATGATTTTTTTTAAATAAATCAATTTAGAATAATGTTAGAATCATTTTTTAACTAAAGTATAAAGGCACTAGTATTAATAAAATTCTGCAATATAACCTATGAAAGTTTACATTTTCTTATGAATTATTATAAAATTTATAACATAAAAATTGATTTTCCGAAGATCTTTTTTTTTGTTGATTTCCCTCTTTTTTGCAGAACACAGCCCATATATATAACTTATATATTATATATCCAGTCGACTCTTAGATTCTTAATAAAACATAGCAATTTTTTATAACGAACTTGTTTTTACCTTCAGTTCGCTATAGAAAGAGTTGAGACGTATATGCTATACAATATTACAGGCTTTCTCATTCGACATTTTAAACCCTTTTCTTTCTTTTTTTTAATATTTAATTTTGGGGTTTTTTCTTTTGACAAATTATGTCAAGTGAATTATAAGTTTTTTAACTAAGTGCCACAGAACAATTCATATTTCTATTTCTCAAACTATGTGGGTTTTAATTTCGTGTTTATTTTATTTTATTTTTTGTTTTACTAAATTACTGTAAATGCAATATCTCGTCTCTAACATATCGGCGGGTTTCCCAAATTGGTCTCCAGATCTAATAAAATAATAGTAAACTCAACAGTAATGATCCTTAAATGAGTATTGCAAAGACAGTCAACTGATCAGTCCGTCCTACAAAGTACCCTAAAACATAATATAAAATTCACGTCTAACTGTTTACCCACCCCTTAACTGATTACTTTTTTTTTTTTTTATTGTCAGCTCATTACGTGGCTAAATTTTAATCCAACGCTAAATGGGCTTTCAACTATATTTGTATAGGACACATTCTGTTTAATTTGTTAGGATTGTGTCCAGTACAAAATATAATTGAAAGCCCAATGACAGGTTTTCTCTTGACGACACTTTAATAATCTAACGATTGTCCAGCCACAACCAATTGGTTGATACACCATAATTTTTAGGGCTCTTTAAAAATCTACCGATATGAAAAATGATTTTGATCCTTTAACTTGATAAGTTTTGATCAAGTGCATCGTGTTGTTGATTTTTTCTTGAAGTTCATAAACTCACTTCAAGGATTGTATCTTTGTTAATATTACAGTTCACAATTATCACGTTTTCCAAAGTGATTTTAGATCGTAGCTCTCAATAATTATAGACTGGTGGAAGTATTCGTTAAAGTGGGGTAACAATAGGTTGTTTAGGTTCTAATCTATATTGTAACTTTAGCTTGAAGTAACGGTTTATAATATTTAAATACGAGTCTGTAACGAACTTTGCAAAAGGAAAAGCTTAGAAAGTAAATGAAAAGTCTTTGTGCCACCGGGTTGGTATACCACCCCGTCTAAATTAAATAGTAATTTGATGACGCACATCACTTTAGTATTTGACTAGATTTTTCATTCCAAGATTACAAAATTTTAGTGTATCGTCGCGAATAACGTCCCGGGCGTTATTTCGTGATGATATGGTAAAATTGATCAAAAACTAGGTTCTTTTTTATCCCATTAAGATTGCAACGCGTATTTTTCTACTTTTAATTATCAGCCAAAATAGTTCAGTCATACTTATAATACAGCATGAGTGACGCACAGACTTTGACTTCGGCTTTTAAACCTGAAACTTACCTTAAAAAATCAGAAGAATTGAGACCGATACAAATATATGTTTAGTTCTTAGAAATAAAATTTTCTTAATTCAGTAATTGTTTTTAAATACATATGCACTTAGAGAAAAAATTGACTAACGCCTGCCTCAGATCACAGTTGATTCACCTCAGATGCAGATCGCCAGGTGAGATGCGTAACGTCATCTAACGAAAGATTGAATAAGACCTTTTATTTGGAACTTTTATTCTCAGTTTCTTGGATCTCTTCGCCGTTTTCTCACTAGTAGCATTCTTTGCTTAAATCACTTTGGTGCCTTTCTTAACTCCAGTAGTATTCTATATTTTTAATCACTTTGGAATCGTCTTACCTCCAATAATATTCTTGAATCTCTGGTATTTAAAACCAAAAGTAGCATTCTTTTACATTAAATCTGTTTCTTCAGCACCACCGTTCTTTTTGAATTTCTTTGTCGGCACATTCTATTTCCAATTAGTACGCACACATTATTTCTCTATACATATATATATTTTTTACTTAAATTTTCGCGGCATATTCTTTCTAAGTTTTTTCAGCACATTCAATATTCAATAATTTCCATACATATAATTTTTTTTATGCTTATTGACCGATCAATAGGTTACGCACTCACTTAACAATCTACATCCGTGGTGCGTCAGTTGTGATCTGAGGTAGGCGTTAGTCTGAGGCACACTTATACCCTTTAACTGCGGACTGTCCCTTAACTATCCTTATATTATAAATCTATTGAAACTTATATACTTGAATTACGGTAAGTCATTTATACAATTTGTATTTTAGTTGTTTTTTACTTCGATGATATCCAAAATGCAATATAATAAATTAGTAAATAAGAGTTATTGTAATTGTAAATACATCGTCAGAATTATTGAAGCATTCAATTCCTGCAATAAGCAAATAACTATGAATTAAATAACCAAAAAGCGGACGGAATGTAGAAAATCTCAAATGAAATTAAAGATACATATAATCTGATAATCACCTTAATAGATTAATATTCCTACGTAATAAGAAATTCTTTGAGAATTAGAACTTGATGTGATGAAAAAATTATTCATGAAAATATTAAGAAGTTGTAAGGTTAAAAAAAAAAAAAAAGTCGACACAATGATAGTTGATCAACGAAACACTTAGCGCATTTATATCATTACGTAATTAAAGATTCTTGCAATATATATTCGAGGCTCTATCTGAAAGTCATATGAAAATCAATTTTTATGTTTATTTACACAAAGAATTACTCAAATTTACCCAAATTTATCCAAATTTATTTCTGCAAAAATTATGTAAAATCGCATTAGTGTTAGAAATTTGAATTTTTTAGCATATCTTTTCTTTTAATAGGTACATGGAAATACTTACATCTAAAGATACATGTGGAAAAATTTTTACGTATCTTTCAGTATAATGAAATCCGAAATATAAGTCGTAAGTGGGAATGGAATTAAATAGGTTTTGCATTTCCTAGTTAAATTAGGGTTAGGGTTAGAGTATATATCTGATATATGATAAAATCAACCCCAAATGCTGGTTTTATATAAAAATTTCTTAAATTCTATTTTCATTTACAAAACATATACATTAAAGGTTTCCCGAAGTACTAGCTAATGTTAAAAGTTCATAAGAGTGGTACGTAGGCACATACGCACACATATAAGTACGCATGTATGTACTGTACGTACGTGTACATATATAAATATAGAAAAGCTATTGTTTATTACATAATGAATATTATAAAGCAATAATCAATTGCTGAGTTAATAAGGTAAATTGGTAGGGCTGAAATTCATACATAAATTTGTGGGGCTGAAACCCATGAATCGGTGAGGCTGGTTAAAGTTTAAATTCTTGAATTTATATTTGTTGACCAAACGATCGTATCGGTATTATTACCCCTTAACGTTAAAAAGTAACAATTGACAACAAGTTGATTATGTCATCATACAGGAGCGAACTTGATTTTAAGGCGCACAGAATCCAACTAAAAAAAAAAAACAACAAACAAATCAAAGGTCAGCTGCTAAACCAGAAAGGACAGTGGATTGATTTTATGACGAAAAAAAAACGGATCTCGATATTTTTGTGAGACTTTCACTCAGCATGCATTAAACGGAAAAAACGCCAATATGTAACAAAAGATAACGAATCAATCATCAATTGAACATTAATCGGGGTTCTTAGTGTCGCGGAAAAACAATTTTTTTTTTGTCCACGGATCAATCTTTGATCTACAACTGCAATCTTCACACGGATTCCCGATTAAATGATTGTTTGTTGATTTTTTCGCTCATTTCATTTTTTTTTTTATTTTTTTAAAAAAACATCTGTGCACTTACATTAATTTGATAACTCCGAGTATATTGTGTGATTTTTAACATTACATTATCACAGGATATCTTGGATATTTCCGAACAGGTTATTTTGGACTCAGAATGTTCAATCGTCACGTCTGTGATTAACATAATTAGCACCGAAAAATAAAATAAATAAATAAACTTTAATATATATAACAACAGGTTTCATCCTTAATTTATCGTTATTGTTATCATAGCGAATAACTCTAAACACCCCATGCCGAGGTTGTTAGCGACGCAGTATATGGTGCCTTCATTTACAGATAAAATACATTTAAATATATTTATATTTATATACTCCTAATTTCCTTACGACTAAGTATGTATATTTTCATTCTAACAATACTGCCATTTTTTTATTTGTCTAATAAATAATTTGTAAATATTGAAAATCTTATAACAATTTATATAATTAGCATATCCGAAAATTGGACTTTTCGAGGATTACGAAAGGTTACGCAAAATATAAGGCCTTAACGCGAAAGTATGAACAAGGTAAAATAATAATAATAACTATATATATAAAAAAATAATAACAAATATATACACATAAAAAAATAATAACAAATATATACTTATTAATATCGCTTATGCGTTGTTTATGTTTGTGCTATCTTAACCTTAAGCCATTTATCCATTGTATCCATCGAAATGTCTTCAAAGAAAATTATTCTGTATAGTAGACTAAGAAAATGAGCGGATGAATTTATTTGCACACTATAATGTGCAATGCTTTATACCATCCATAATAACCCTTTTAATACCAGTATTGAAGAACACACTTAAGGTAAACCAAAAGCAAATTTTCCATTTGGGTATATACATATATATTATATACTCCAAGCATGGTTTGCTGTGTACTCCCCATTTGTATTGTTTTTCCGAATACCTAACCTTTTTTTTTATTAACAAATTTGTTAAAGAAATAGCGTGAAATTGAGTTAGAAAATTATCATGGTAATTAATCTACTAAATATCGATGTTTATTTTTTTAAAAAAACAAGTTTCAAATGTTTATAACGAAAGCTTTGATGTTACCAAGTTATCTACTGCGTTATGTGTACATACAATCAAAACAGTCATGTGCTAACAAACATAACTTTGGTGTTTTAATGCATAGTTTTCATTATGAAATTTCTAATTTGGTAAAATTCACCATATGTACGTATGTGTTATCGTATACGTAGCTACATTAATATATACATAATTATTATCAAAATTGGTAATAGTTAAATCAGCAGATATACTCAAATAATAACCGCCATCTATTATTCCAAATTAGGCTGATATGATTATAAAACTGGCTTCGGCAGTTTAGAGAACTTTCCATAATAAGTTTATCATTTGGGATGAGATACATACGTACTATACTACTATATAAGTTATTTAGCCAACCTATTTTCAATAAATAATATTACTTTATTAAGCATGGTATGAAATGAGTATAAGGATGAGTAATATGCTTAAGTTTCTGGGAAGTTTTTTTTTTGCGCAAATTACTCATTGCTAACGTCATCAATCCAAAAAATTTATTCGATCAAATCAAATTTTAAGATTAGGTGTAACGTAAAATCAGAACAAAAATATAAGAAAAGATATATTAACATTAATAGCGAAATTTTTAGGTTGATGTCGCTAGGACAATAATTCCAATTCACAATTTTATTTATTAATAATTAAAATTAAGGATAAATTATCATTCTCATTTATTACCGTATACTTCCCGACATAAGTACCACCTCCTTTTAAATCTTAGTTAGTGGAATAACATGATCTTTGGCCAAGTCGTTCTCATTAATCTGATATTAAATTTTTTTTTAACTTTGGCGACACTGCCAGTTGGTTTACTAGGTTCTAAATTTGATATAGTACAATTTACAGTTATTTTTGAATTTTAAGGGCAGTCTCGCCTGTGTGTCTTTTTATTAGTAGTAGTATAAGATTACATATTATATACAGAGTGTATCAACGAAAGTACAACTAGTTACACGTATAACTTTAGTCATTATCTAATTAAGGGTTCCGCCCATAGGTTACCTACTAGATGCCATACCTGAGACCTGCCTGTGAGTCCCCTATTTTAAACTTTCTGATTTTCAACACTTAACTATATATATATACAATGTATACCACCATGTTTATGACAGAACAGGTTAGGGCTATCTAATTACTATTTATATCTAAGTTCCATCATATTGGATGTTACTAAGTATTCATAGTCTTTTCGAATTTACCCTTGATGCAAACTTACTAAGTATGGTACCAAGATTACCTCTTAGATTTATCCAATTTTAGTATATCCCATATTTACTAGAACCGGTTTGGTGTCAGAAGTGTTCGAATTTTAGTAAGTCCATTCCTTTTCCATAGTTTCCTTTTATGTTCACTGTATCAATCGCTAGTGTGCCTTCTCTCCATTTCTGGTATGTTCACTGTTTCTCTCGCATCAAGCACCAACTCTCCATATCAGGAATCTTTTTTCCGAGAACTTTCTTATATACCAATCTTCTAATCACATAGACTTAGCCATAGGGTTTCACATACATTCATATGCTTCTGTAGATTACAAAGTTGTCTTCAACTAGAATTGAACCATTGACCTTGTCTGTGGAGGGAGGGGTGCCTAGATCACTAGGCTACGGGATCTCATCCCTTAATTTACAGTTATATTTACAGGATCATTTATTATTAGTATTATATTAGCTATCCTAACTTACTTCATTAACTTTATCTGGTTACTCATATGACACCTAAGTTTATGTCTGTCACATGCTTGCATGCAGTTATCTTGGCAACTACTTGCAAGTAAGATGTATCATTAAATTGTTATATAGACAATCCATATATCTCATTCACATGTTTTATTTGGTCTTGTTTCTCCTGTCTCCTAATTTAATTATATCTAATAATATCATGTTTCTTATATTTTTTACCTTTTTGTTATTGTATCATTTCTAAATTGGTCCTATTAAGATATGTTTGATTCTGATGATCTCATCTCTTTGGTATACTTGTTATTGTTTTTTTTAAGGTTTTTCAATAATGATTTAGGTTTTATAATAAATTTATATCTCAAATTAAGCCTGTTTCATCATTAGTTTTTAATCAATCTATATTTCAAATTAGGTTTACTATTACTGTTCTTATATATGTTTAGGTCTTAACATTATACAGTAACTTTATATTGTATTTATTTTTAATAAAATATTCTTTTCTTTAGTAGAAATTAGGATTTATTATATTTATAAATAAAACAATTTTAGTTATATTTAGAAAGTTCTTTTAATTAAAGTAATATTATACTATCAGATTTTACAAATTTTCAGCTTATTTAATAATACTTGTAAAATAATTCTAGTCATATTCAGAGAATTATATTAAATCTAGTAATATTATATTATCTTATAAATTTATTTTATATTAGTTGATTAATTTTAGTCTTATTTATTATAAATTTTTATATAAATACAATTAAATTTAGTATTTTTTTTTTATACAAAAAAATATATACTAATTTTTAAGATTTTTTTTTATAATTAAATTATTTAGTAATATTAAAAGTACATCTAATTTTAGTTAAATCAATTCTTTATTATAAACTGTTTTTATATTATTATTTTTTATTATTTTAGATTTAGTTATTTTTAAATTATTTTTTTAATCAAATTATTTTCTTGCATCCTAATTAAGACTTATTTATACAATTTGTTAATTATTCTTTCAAGTAAATATTTTACAAATTAGATATAAAAATATTGTTATTGCTTATATTAGAAGATATAAAGATATTATTGCTACTTTAGTCTTAAGAACTTATAAGTATAATCTTTTTATAACTCTATTTATTTTTTTTTTAAATATTAAGATAAGTACTTGTGATCCAGAATTTTGTTGATAATATATTTGATTAATAGTTACATTATAACTACAAAGGACAACTATAAAAAGAGTGTACAACTAACTATTTATACAATTTTAGTTATTGTCTAATTTAAATAGTCTGCCTAAAGGTTCTATATTAGTTGCTATATCTAGAGCCTGCTTGTAGGTTTCTTATTTAAACACTCTGGTTTCTATATCTATTTATCTACTTCTGCTTACCAATAACTCTGGCTAATGCCAGTAAAAATATAACATGATCACTAAGTCTTTAAAGCAATTTACTTATATGAGGAATCTTTAACTTTGTACTAAACTTTTCAGAATTTTTCGTATCTTATTTTTATAGCTAATCTGATATCACTATAGTCAAAATCAACACTGGCAGTCAGAATATACTATTAAACTGCTATGTTTTTGTAAAATTTACTCTAACCCTAATATTAACTTTACAATATATTCTTACTACTTTGATATTTAAATCAAGTTACATCAAATTCTTAAACCAGATAGTTCAGAAAAGTAAATTATAATTATATCTCTGATTTACATATTTTTTAGCATGTAACCTTTTCTTCTAAAATTTGAAAATTTTGATGGCCTGGTTGGTTCTATTTGGCCTCTTTTTAAAGACCAGCTCTTTGTCCAATTCACGAATTATATAAGATGTTTTATAAACTAGTCTTTATAATAGCATTGTTAAAAGTTCAGGTTATTTCTTTACTTAGATCTTACAAATAGGCTTTTATCTTTTTACTTGATTTCTGTGATTTACATGATCTAAAAACTTATCATGAGTTCATACTATTTGGCTACCAGTCTGTATTTCTTTATACAATATTGTATGAATGTTTAGACTTTTTAATCATGTTGGTATAATATAGGTTACATATATCTAATTTTAACCAATCATAAAAGACAGTTAACTATAATACAAAAAGAATTACAAATTTTTATCATCACTAAGATTTGAACTCTAGACTTGTCACTTGGAGGTTGACAACCTGTTTACTTTACTAGATTACTATATTTCTTCTTTATAATTATATTTATACTTTACAATTAGATTTTTTTTTAGAAATTTTTTATTTTTTATTTTAAATTTGTATTTGTACTTGAACTTTTTATAGAACTTTATATCTAATTAATAGTTTTAATAAGTTATAAAAACAAAATTGCCTCTAGTTTGATTCAAACTATTAATCTTGTTTATAAAAAATTTGAAAGCTTATCTAAATTATGAAATCCAAACTCTTATTAAAAAATTATAATAGAAAGTAATGCTTATTTTTAAGAGTACATAGTAACAATTATAACAAATAAACAATAATAAAAAACTCTTTTTGATAATTATTAAAAATAAACAAAATAGAAAGAAAAATTTAAAATATAGTAAATGAACTTAAATAAATTAAATAGTATACAAAAAAACAATTACAAATCCAAAAAACAAATTTTTACAACAATATTACTACTATACAAACAACAAAACATATATTAAAACCAATAAAACTAAAAACTAGTCTTTTGTAAACTTGATAAAAGTAGACCTGTTCAAAAACAAGAAGCAGAATATATATTAATATACATATTAAGAAGTATTAAACAAGACATAAATATTCACAAGATAAAGCAAAACAATACAAATACAGAAACAATCTATAATTAATCTAAAAAAAATGTTTTAACCTTTTATACTCTTCTGAACACTATGCAAAAATTTTAAAAAGTAGACAAATTAGCTTAGTTCTAACAAAATACATAATGATATTATATTTTATATATAACAAAATAACAAAAACTAAAATCAGAAATAGTAACAACAATACAAATAATATAATAGTAAATAACAAAAATCTAAATATAAAAATATAGAAGAACAAATATATATAGATAGTACAAATAGTAGATCTATACCTGGAATCATAATAC